TAGTTATGATATTGAATTAGTTCTACCTCATAAGCATCGAAACAAACGATTTCCTCGAGAACTACTTCGCCTTTCTGGGCGGCCGTTCTTCTCAGTACTCGGTCGGTCTTTACCAAGATTTCCTAGCTAGAATCACCAAAGACTTTGTGAAGAAGTTGCACGAACTTGGTGCTAGGAAGATCTCACTAGGTGGAGTCCCACCAATGGGATGCATGCCTTTGGAGAGAGCCACCAACATTGGCACGGGAGGTGAGTGCATTGGACGCTTCAATGACATTGTGGTCCAGTTCAACGGAAAACTTGAGAAGCTTGTTGAGAAGCTGAGCAAAGAGCTTCCTGGTTCCGTCCTCGTTTTCTCAAATCCCTAGGAACCATTTATGCAAATCATCAAGAAACCTTCCTCTTTCGGGTTCGAGGTTGCGGCAGCGGCTTGGTGCGCGAATGTTCGAGACAGGCCCGACCCTGTGCACGTGCAAAGAGTGCACTTTGCACATGGCCCGTTTACTTTCATTCACTTTCTTAGCCCAAAACCAAAAAATAAAGGTCCAATTTTAATTTTTTTTTTGGTAAAATAGGTTAAATTAGGACCGTTTTCTGTAAAATATGTTAAATAAGGGCCTAAATTTTTTTTCAGCACAAGGTCTTTGTTACAACTAAGCTGGCCTTGGTTCGAGATGGGATATATATTCCAAAGGAATAACCCATTCACATGTAGCAACGCAAACAAGTATGTGTTTTGGACTCATTTCATCCAACACAAAAGACTCATCGCATCATGGCCAATTTTCTCATGAACAACACATTCTCTCACTTCCTCTAACGATTTCTATGTGTTTGTGTGGAGAATGGAAATGAGAGTAATATTAATATTACGGTGTTGAAAGGGCTTCCTATATTTTTGATCTACTAAACTTGCATCTTTAGAGCTGGACACGTGTTCTACCAATAGGTCTGGTGCTAACGCGTGTCATTGTAAGTTCCTATCTATATTGTTGTAATTGAGCTGGAAATGGTTTATTGAATCAATTTTAGAGATGTTCTTCTATGTACCTTGTATTTGCCCATGTTTGGGATGGTCGACAAAAAAAAAAAATGTATCTGTAAAATTTTATGTGCGCAGATCAAATGCTTAAATATCTTTCTCCTTTCAGATTTAATGTCTTATATACCCTTCATCAATTCTCTACCTTCTTTTTTTTATAGCTTTAGTGAATTACTTGTTTTACCCCTTTTATTTAATCAACTGTCTAAGCCGACATAGGTGATACGATCTTGGTGAGAGATCTAGCCCACGAACAGTCTTTGAACAAGTTGGGAATGCAAAAAAATCTCTAAATCAAGGAGATCAAAGACAACAGATGATGATTGAAAAGGAGAACTCGATTGGAATGGTTTGTTCGAAGGATTGCAGCGGATTTCTTGTAGAGATGAAAGTGAAACGAGTGCTCGATTTGAGTGATGAACAAGGGAATTGCACTACAAAAAAGTCTTATTGATAGCACATTACTTATAGATGTTTTGATGGATTGAACCTACATATGATAGCATGTTAAAAATATTAACCCAGAAAAAGATAAAGCGGGAATCTAAATTTAGCTTTAGAGCCAAAATTAGATGCAGCGGTAACACTTAGAAAAAAGTTTTTCGTTTTGCGCCTAATTGTTTTTATCATCACGAAGAATTGAAGAAATCTCTCTTCGACACCCTCTTCTCTCACCTTCTATCCTCTTCGATCTGCAACTTTAATTTGACCATTCCCCTTTTCTTTTATTATCTAGCAATCTAAGATAATTATGTTGGTGCTTCTTCATCGGAGATTCCACCGTCGGCAAATCCAATCTCCTCACTCGTTAAGCACGGAACGAGTTCAATCCGAATTCAAAAGTCACAATCGGCGTCGATTTTCAGACTTAGAGTATGGTCTCAAATTGTTTGCA